CCACATGCTAATAAGTTTAAGGTTTAACGTATAATCCTTTTCATGTGTGATAGTTTGATAGCATTAGAATATGGAAGGGATGAAAAATAGGGAGTAAATTCATTCTTATTGACAACAAATACATTCTAATTTTCTGTATTTTTGCCAGTAAATTCACTTAAAAAAATCTAAAACCGATATTCTAGATTACTTAAAAAAACTAAAAGAAATTAAAAAATCATTCTTTATCGTTCATGACAATAAGTTTAAATTGATATATAATGTGTATATTTGAATATTTCTTTTAGGTGTTCATGTTTTTTATGGGCTTATGAGGTGCACAAAAAATTGAGGAATAGAGCACAAATCCTTACCATAATGCCTAAGGCAATGATATAGCGCTTTGAATTGCCAAAGATACTTTCTCTAGCAATAAAAAATTACCGTTAGATGGAAAGTTTTTTCAAGTGAGATGTGTTGTACAAATTTTAAATCTTGTTTTTCAAAATGGACTTTCTGATTTTAAATCGATCATTGGAGATGTTAAAGATAGTGTAAGATTCATCAATCAATCTGGGGTTAGACTCCTCAAGTTTTCTGAAGTTGTGCATCAGTTTGCAATTCCATCTAAATGATTATTTATAGACTTTTAGTTGAAGTGTTGAAGGTGAAGGATGCACTCCCTTGACTTGCACAAAGATAAAGTTTATACAAATGTTTTTCTACTTCTGAAGATTCGGAAAAGGTAAGTGATGTTGATAGCATTCTAGAAGTGTTTTATGAAGCTACTCATGTACCGCCCGAAACTTATTAACCCATCCTCTAATGTTTTTCTTGCTTTCATTTGAAGAGTTAAACATGTGTTAGACGAAGAAGTGCATCCTAATGGGTTTATAAAAAAATATGATAAGAAAGCTGGGGAAAATTGACAAATATTAGGGAAGTTGTAATCTTTTGATGGCTATTGGAGCCATACTTGATCCTGAAATTGATCGAGTCTCATAAATGTCCGGTCTCTAAGTATTTTATAACTATCCAACTCCAGTAAAAACATCTTGAGTCTTGTAAGAATGTCAAAAAAGTTTGATATGCTTTATATGAATTATTTTTTGAGTATGTTGAACACAATCTTTCGAACGCTCAAAAGGGTAGCTTTTCGACATCAACCGAGAACCCTTCTAAAAATCATTCAAGCTCCATCTCCAAAGGAAAGTTAGTACCTTATAATTATGTTTGATGATTATTTGAACTCTGTTCAACATAATGTTCATTTGAAATCAGAGTTAGACATGTATTTGGAGGAAGGAGTTGAGTTTTTAGATGTCAAGAAGGCGATGTGGTATTTGAGTTAGATGTGGTGTCTAAATTAGCTCGTAATGTTTTAGCTAACCTTATTAGCACAGCTGCATAAGAGACGACATTTTGTGGAGAAACTCGAGTGTTAGACCCCCACTGTGCTAATTTATCGTCTGAGATGGTTGAAATTTTGATATGTGAAGGCGATTGGATTCATCAACTTCACGGAATAAGAAAGGTTATGAAAACATATGCAAGTCTTACTCATATTTCATAAGCAAGTGAAATTTACAGGAAAAGGAAAAGCCGATTGAGATTTTGCTTAATTGTTGAAGATTAAGATCTTGAAAGCTGAAACTTGAAGGACTTGAACTTTACTTAGTTGATTTTCTAGAAGTGCTACATTACTCGGACTACTTTTGTTTATCCAGTGATTTTTGACTTATGGTTCTTTTCATTATGTGATTTTAGTTTTGTTAAACTGATAGATTCATTTTATAGTTAGATGGAATATGTAGTGAACATTGGGAACAAATACAAACCATACATCATATATCCGGTTGGTGAAATATACTTAACATTTACTAACCCCCGAATTCGAATATTTTCGAATATAATACTCCCTCCATCCCGCAAAGAAGTTCCCGCTTTCCTTTTTTAGGAGTCCCAAAAAGAAGTTCCCATTTCCTTAAATGGGAAGTTATCTACATCAAAACAGTGCAAAACTGTGCCAAACAGTGCCCCTAGTAAGCTTATTTCCTTAATATGTGTGTAGGTCAAACCGTGAACTTCTTTGCGGGACGAAGGTAGTATACAAATCGAAACATGAATAGAGAATACAATTTGAATACAAAACAAATACGAACACAAATATTTGTGAAGTTATATATGAATACAAATATTATTGTTAGGTATTCGCTTTGATTCGATTCGTTTGCAACTCTAAGGCGCATCGAGCAGGGCCTCCCGCGCCTGGGAGAGGGGGGCAGCTCAAGCGCAGAAGCACATGAAGCACAGAAACAAGTGAAACATGTGTAAAACCTTAAGTCACATAAGTAAAAATGTAAGACCCATCGTAAAACAATCAAGTCTTCACAATGCGTAAAACCTCAAGTCACCAAACATCGCTCTTCAATCTACTCACTCTCTTTAGTTTCTTCATCATATTTTTTTTTGGCAAAAGTTTCTTCATCATATTAACCTCAGTTTCCTCGAAACATTAAATAAGGTACGTGTTCTTTTTCATGCACTCCTCTTCATCCAATATTTTAGACTCATATACACATATGGTCATATACTCGTACTAGACTAGAAACTAAACATTGTAGTGTAAATGTGTAATAAATTAATAATACAAGTACATGATGTATTAGTATATAAGTATATTACTATCATACTATGTATATAATACACAGTAGTATAGTAAGTATAGTAGTATATAATATGTATATAATACTCCGCTGTGTGCTTTTCCATAGATGTAATCCCGAGTTTCCGGATTTTCACCACAAGTCACACCAAACACACAAACATTTATCAAATTTTTATCTGAATTTTTTTATTATTTGTCACTAGATAAACTCGTACTTTTAAAAAACTGTCTCAATATAATCTAAATAAAATACTCAGCTTTGTTATATACATTTGGTTCAATATGATGTTACATATGTCATATTTGGTAATTATAGAATAGTATATGTGATATGATCTATGCAATGTTCAGGCATGCGCTTTAATTACGCCTTGCGCCTCAGGCAAGGAAAGGCCCTTAGCGCTTTATGTGCGCCTTTTGACTGCGACTACCTTACCCATGCATTTGCCTAAGGCCACACGTTCAAGAAGAGCATCAGAGAATACGATCACACGGAGAACTAGTGAATAGTGATACGAGATTTTAATTTCTAATAACTGATAATTAAAATTGGCGAATGGCTCCTGGACTCCAATGGTCAAATGGAGTCTTGGACGCTAGAAGGACAGAGCTCATTGAAGACTACTTTGTTAGACAACTTGACTACTTGAGGTGTGTTTGGGAGTTGGTTTTTTTTTGCGGGGATGCTTTTGGAAGGTTGTTGTGACCCCCAAAATAGGGGCTTTGATGGATGACTAACTACTAAGTGATAAATTAAGCTCAATTTAAAATGAATATCATCAATTCAACTATTTGAAATCGCTATACCTCAGAAGCGATTTTAATTATAAGGAAAAAGCGAACCTTAGAAGGAATTATAATTAAAATTACTTCTGAGATATGGTGAATTCAAATAGGTGAACTTATATTCATTTCAAATTGAGTCTAAATTATCATTTAGTTAGTTATCCATCAAAATCCGCTATTTTGGGGGAACAAATTGAGCATTTGAGGGATTTTGGAGGGTCACAAAAATCTTCCAAAAGCATTTCTCCACATTTATTGAACTCCCAAAAACAAATAGGGGGGTCATTTACCCTCACATGTCTTCCCCTCTCCCCCAAAACCAACTCCCAAACACACCCGAAAAGATAAAAATTATTGTCATGAGGTACTTAGGCTTATGATTAAAGATCAACCATCAATGAATATAAATTATTGGGTTTGTAACTTAATATTGCTTATTTCATTGTTCTGTATTTGATAATTCAAGTAATTTAGTAAATACATAAAGTAATTTTAGCTTTAGTTCATTAGATGCCAATAGAAATATTTAACTAACTTTTATTTGTCATACATAGTAGAGTAATTATTTTGTTTGATTTGTGATTCTCACTAGAAATTGTTTTTGTAAATTTAACTTTTTGTGGACTTATTTGTTTATGGTTTTTTATTAACTACGGAGTATAAAGAAATAATTTTGGACGCTCAACGTGATATTACAAGTTCTACATTTGCTTATAACATCGTCTGATTAAAAAGAAAAAAAGATTTGGATCAATATAAAAAGACTAGACCACTTCTACTCAAATATTGTTGACAATGTCAATATATAGAGATGTTCATGAGAAAGAGAACAATGATGAAAATAAGAATGCAAAAATTTAGGAAGAGAATGAGGCTACAGATGATCATAATGAAAATTTAATGGTTAGTGATTTGAGTTTAAACGACGATAAAAAAATAGAAGACCAAACTCATTAATTGAATATATTTCGGTTTTTTGTTATAGAAATAACATTTAATATGATTGGTGAATCTTAAGTTTTTTTTTCATCTAGGGCCTAGCCTTTGAAGTCAAGACAAGTTCTAAAGACGGCCCTGGAGTTGAGCCGCTCACGAGCCTTTTAACGGCTCACGAGCAGCTCACAAGCGGGTTGACTCGTTTGTACCCCTAAGTTTACATTTGAATAGTATGAGGTAATTCTACTGAAATTACAAGATTTAAATTTTTAGCGAGTGCATGTTCATTTTGTTTAAGATGTCAAAATCATGTACTCCGTAGGTATATACTTAATGAATAATGACACCTTAAAGTGGTTATGCTTAGCAGCTTAGACATACATTATTTCCAATTTTTATTTAACTTATGAACCTATCTTAAAATGTTTGTCAGTTATTAACCATATTTACATTGTTCAAAATAGTTCATATTTTACAAATTCATATAAACTTCAAAACAGTGCGTAAACATATTTTTCCCAATTTGTCTCTCTCTTTAGTGATATATGTAGACTCAAGTTAGAATTACGTATTCTGAGATTAGATACTACGTATATATTGAAATTACACTGAACGCAAAATAGGCAAATACCTGTCGGCCGGATACACTTCTGGATCGATTGGCTCACCTCCTTGGGCCCGAAAGTAACTAAGAAACAATACATGAGCTGTTACTGCATCAGGCTTGTTAGGCTCCAAGACAATGCTATGGGCCTTAAGCCCATATACACCGAAAAGTGAACTCAAAAGGCCCAATTTGCTTGTCCAGGGCCCAAGTGCTAAAACTACAGCATCCGCTTCTATGCGCTTGCCTCCTTCCAACACCGCCGCCGTAGCTCTGCCTCCCTCCGCCTCAACTCTCTCCAGTTTATCGATCACCACCTTAACGCCGTGATGCTCCACTGCTCTGGACAACAATGTTTTTGTGAACATCTGAGGATGGACTTGGGCCGTGGTATCAATAGTCCCGATCGGTTTTGGGCTTTTAGCTGGGCCATCGACCCAAGAGGGAAGTGATGGACTAGGGCTTCTCGACGACGATTCATTGACGGTGACGCTCAGAGCCGTCAGCGGACGGTAGCCGTACGATTGGGGACCATTGAGCTCTTCGGCGAGCGAGCGGTGGAGATCGAAGCTGACTCTTGCCAGAGCAGAAAGGGGCCCACCGTCGCACCAATTTTGTGCTAGAAACCCACCGGCCTTGCCGGAAGCTGCGCAGGCAATGGAGGATTTCTCCACCAAGGTCACAGAGGCTCCCTTTTTGGACAAGAAATAGGCGGTGCAGACTCCGATGACTCCGCCGCCGCAAACCACTACCTTTTTCGGCTTTGCGGCCTCCATCGACGCCGAGATCGGCTGAATACGATTGTTCATACGGATCGAGTTAATCAGGACAGTGCAATAGCGCGATGACTGGTGATGATGCCACGTGTAGTGGGATGTGCTAGAGCTGACACGTTGGCTTCTTTTTAAGTCGCAACAGAACTCAGTGTTCCAAGCAATCATGTCTTATTTTGGGCTCACATTAGCCCAAATGGCAAATGTCCATTACATTACCTAGATTGGATTTCTAGACGCCAATTCTGACTTATATTTAAGTTTTAGGTTTTCTATATTTTTGTTTGCAACATTTTACTTTATTATTATTACGTAGTACTTTTTGTGTCCCAATTTTGATAATCAGATTGCAGTTTATGCAGTGTGATCGATGATAAATCAAACGGATTCTTGTCCATATTCAAATTATTTTTAGTAAATAAAATATGTGTATTCCAAAATTATACGTAATATTAAACGTCTTACAAAATCGCAAAAAAAATCACATTTGATACAAGCTTGATATATAAAATAAAAGATTTAAAGTCGTTTGTGTTGATCAAATGAATAAAAATATGATCATCAAACTGGGACGGAGGTAATACAATTTATGTTTAATGATAGTGTTATTTCTGATGGGGACACTAGAACAACTAAGTTTTTTGAAAGGAAAATGATCTCATCAAACAATACCAGAAGATGATCGACTAATGTCTAATGATATCAATATATTACTTCATATTTAGTACTATGTTCACTGCGTTTGCTGCAGAATCTTCTACGGGAACATTAACATTCATGTGGACCGAAGGACTTGTCAGCCTAGCCTTGATCAGGACAAGAGTTCATGCTATTAAATTGAGCATGTAATTAGAGTAAAATATCGATAGTCATGTCACTTTACCATTAAAGTAATTAATTTGTATTTTTGTTCATTTTTTCTCATCCACACAAATCTCAATTATACAAATTTCACTTTTCATATTTCTCAGCTAATTCAAAGTTAATGTTCAATAAGAGAAAGGTAATACAATTGGTTTACAAATTTTCTGTAAATAGAAATTTTAGTTACTCAAATTTCAATACACATATTGATTGTATCATCATACTATTACTTTACCAAGCATTGTTGTCAGTGGCGTATCCAGGAGTCTAGTCCAGTGGAAACGGAGCTTAGTTCATTCTAAGACCTTCATTAGATCGAGGATTCGAATACCTATTTTGTTTTTAAAGTTTTAATAAAATTTAAAGTGATTTAATGTATACATACACTAATACACTTTTAGATTTAATCTATACTCCATTACATTTTTAGAGGTACAATATACTTCATTACATTTTACACTTAACATAAATTCATGTTTAGATATAATTCTGCATTCACAATTTACATTAATTCTAAATACACACACTATATGTCCCTTATTCAAATTATTTATTTATTTACATAACATCAAAAAAATAGATTTTTTGTTTCAAATTTATTAAGCATGATTTCATATTTTTTAGATGACTGGTTAGTTTTCATTTTTAATGAATTTTGTACTATTTTTCTTAAAGTGTCCAGCTGCTTGTGACCTGCTTGAAATAATATATACTCCCTCCGTCTTATAATTTCTTCTCGGTTTGACTTGGACCGAACTGTAAGAAAGTGAAAATAAAATGAAAATGTATGATTGTGGTCGAGTAGGTAAACGAATGTTAGTCACACAAAAATTTTCAGAAAGGGAAATGAAAAAAGAATTTTTTGTGACATACCAAAAAGATTAAGTCAGAAGAATTCTATGGAACGATGAGAGTAGTATGAACTCATCCTCACTCACAACAATGCCCAGATACACCACTATTGTTGTTTCATGTTTGCCCAACTTGTCAAATAACGCTACCCCTAAGCATGTAAACTAAAATATTATTCGTGCATGACATAGGGCAATTTTTTCATAAAGAATAGCTAGACTAATGAAAACAAAATGCAAAATGCATATTCTAAGTGATGGAGTATATGGCCCAGGGACCCCCGGTCCATAGACTCCTACTACTCTAATCAAGGACCAATAGGCCCAGGAAGCACACCAGGCCCAAATCACAGCGCCCCGAGTACCAAGCAGCCAACAATACACACTGGGGGGTGCCTTCGGCCCCTTGGTCGAAGGCTCCTGATACTCAAAGAAAGGCTATTTTCAACATGCAAAGTCACTGGGAGAAGACAGTAAAAACAGCAGCCCTCGGCACCTAGAGCCCTCGCCACCTAGGGCACCTGCCCTCGGAAGGAAGAGCCTTCGGTCAATCATCTACGGCCGAAGGCTTCTCCTCGACAGAATCTCCCACCCACATGCGCTCGATCGACGTACCAAGTACAAACGTCACATCCAACCACCACATTTAATGCGGCCACATGTGAATGCCAGTGCCACCCCATTGAGGTGACCCCTCGTCCACCAGAATGATGACACGTGTCCCTATCTGGCATTTATTACTACTATAAATAGCGCCCATTTTCCCCATTTGTAATCCAAGCAAAAAAACACGCTCACTACATTCTCAGCAATATACTCTCTCTCTCTTACTTTTGCTCTGACTTCTCTCTAGTTACTCCCCGCAGTAACCCTTCGGATACATACCCTCGGGTAGGCTATCCATCATTTGGTTCTCTCATTGAGAGGTCGAATAATCAAGTAAGAAACCCTCCCCCTCGCCAAACACAAAACACCTAGCGAAAATGGTAAGAACAACTCGTGCCAACTCCATGAACGTTGAGGACAGGAACCTGGCCCTCGGCGAAGTCAACGTCCCCGAGGCCTCTAACAAGGCTCCCGGGGCGGCGTCATCGCCGGGTTGGATCACACGGCTGTCGACCTACGCCTTCAGATTCAACAAAATGCCCCCGATGCCCCCCGGTCATCACTATCGACGTACAGTCGGCATTTTCCGCCTTCATCCAAACGCTCACCCAGAACCCGGGTGCCTTCGGCACTTTGGTTCCCCTTCAACCTCAGGTTGGGGGGAAACATCATGCCTCCCCCTCATCCACACCCCCTCGGGGACCCTGTCCTTCGGATTGGGAACGTGGAGGGGGTCGTGGCCCAAGATACGGCCTCCCAGGAAGTCCAATCCCGGGACCGCCACAACATGAACAAGGAACAGCCCCGGACCTCCGTCCTCGAAAGACTCGGAGGGGCGCAAGACCGCCGAGGGGTCCAAGACCGCCTCAGGAAAGTGGCGGATCCGTCTCCCGGGCGGATGAAAGACGTCCCCCTCAGGACAAAGGCAAGGCACCTCTCCATGCCGACGACGCCCGTCACCACATCAACCAGGCCAACTCGGCCCGTGTCCGTTCGCAGGGGGCGGAGGCCCTCCCGAAGGACCCCCGGGACGAAATCATTGCGGCCCTCCAGCGCAAGCTTGACGAGATGGAGTGTAACACCCCCAAATTTTCTTTCCAAAATAATACTTAAAGAAATAAACTTTTATTATTTATTCAGAACTTTCAAATTTGTTTGCAGCGGAAATAAGCAATAACAAGAATAAGGGGCGTGTTACCGCCACACCCAACCTAAACTGACTGGATGCTAAGGCTATCCACCATAAATGTATCTAAAGCAATTACTAAATTCAACATTTGAAATAATGAAATCTAACAGAGTTTATTATAAACGAGGCTACTCTAAAAGTCTTCTAGGAGCGCTCTCAAGGAATCAATCTTCATATATCACCTCATCTGTAGCATAAGAAAATGAAAGAAACAAATAACACAAAAAATTAGCTTTCGCTAAGTAAATCCCACCCAACCCCGTAAAATAATAGTTTTGTTGAAAAATAAGCATTTGTATCTAATATATACAAAAACGAGTTTCCAATAATTTAGTTTCAAAAAGAGTGATAACATTTTCAAAAAGTTCCTTCAATAATTCTTGTAAGTATTCCAAAGAAAAAATTCTTCAAGTACAAAAATATTTGTTTTTTCTCAAAATAGCTTTATAGCTACTCCTCCTAGTCATTTAGACGGGCGGTGCTCAAGCGTTACCTCGATTCCTGAGCCCAGTGAACCGTTGTTTTGTACGGTCACTCCGATCTCCTCTCGGTACCTCATCTCCTCTATTAGAATCTAGACTTCTACCTTAAGTGTGCACACCCCCTAAAGGGATTCCAAGCCCTCTGAGTAGTACGAAGTCTAAGTAGTTCTGACGTCAACGTCTCCCTACTCCAAATGGGATATACTCCCTAAGTTCTGGGTTCAAAGACCCTTAAGAGAATAGGTACTACTACTACTGCTCTACTAAAAGGGATCTAATGCCCAATTGCTCGGGGTAATTACCGAACCCTCCAAATTCATTTAATTTATTTTAAACCTCTCAATTCAAGTAGTAGTAGTCCTAACCCTCCCTCACCATTAACGGACGTGAAGGTGGCCCGACACCTACGGATTTCTCCCGTGGTGCCCCCAATTATGAAAACAGTCTTTTATCTTGTCTTTCCAAAAATCTCATATTTATGTCTCTTGGACAGAATTTCACCAAGATATCTCATGTATACATATAATCCAATATATCTCAAAATCACAACAATATAACTTGTTCACAAATTCATCATTCAAAATATTCATACCATCATCACATATCAAGCAAATAATTATTTACGAGGAAAAATATAATTTTGGTTGCAATGTGACTTACCTCAAATTGCACGCAGATATTCCTAACAAGCTTCTCTAACGGCTTCCTCTCCCAGTTCACCTTCTATTATTTTAAAATTTCCAAAATCAATAATCATTCTAAACTATAGCTTATTCGTCCTACCCTTCTTCTTATTCATTTTACTATTCTATGTTTGATTAATGTAAGAGTCCCCAATAAGTGATTTTGTTCGTATACTCTAGGTAAATCGAATATTTTTATTAGTCCTATTTTATTATAGTCTACTAATCAGTCCGCTAGTTATTTTAATTAGTTCATATTATGATCCATCAATTACTAATACTAAAACAGTTGAGTCCAAAAATCTATAAGTTAAATTGATTATCTTATTTAGTCGAGAAGTTCAAATTATTCAATTTAATCAATTAAATTAATCCTTGTCCTTATTAGTGATTAATAAATTAGTTCCAATA